TTCCCCAAGCCCCAAGCACCAAGCGTTGCTTTTGTTTATGATTTATGGCCTGCCCGTTTGTCAAATGAAATCAAAGTTTTGCACCACGTTCTGCATGGCAGCTGGCGGCGCAGGGCTGGAGCTGGGGCCCAGTTTGGAAGCCGTAAAAAAACAACAGCAATCGCGGCACGAGTCGACTCTGGGCAACTGGACAGCGGCACAGTGGCAACAAGTTGTGGACGCGAAAGTAAAACAAAGGTGAAACGGAAAAATAAAAACACAAGCAAATGGAGGAAAAGCCACAGCAAAACACAAGAAACACGCCAATTATAAGGAAAAGCGAAAATGTGTATGGAAATTCGTGCAACGCAGACAAAGAGAAACGTGCAAAATAAAATGCGTTCAATGCACTCAGTTGGGGCGCACTATTGCAACAGTGGGCGTGGCACGGATAGAGCGAAAGACAAAGACAGCTGTCGATCTGCCACCATCTGCCCCCCCCCCCCCCTTTCCTATACCCTCTACATGACTCATGGAGCAAACGCGTAACGATTTGCATACTGAAATTGTTGAAGCACATATATCTCTAAACTTGGTACCCGCTGGTAATTTGTCGTTGTTGTTGTTAGCTCAAGCGGAAGTCGTAGGCGCAGAAAGTTAATTAGAAAATCTTATGAAAATCCAACCAATAATAAAGAAAAACCTGATATGGACTTGCCGCATGGTGTAAAAGATCATATAAATACAAACAAGTAAGAGCTTCTAGTCGGGAGCTCCCGACTGGGGGATATTCTGAACCATCTTCTTCCAACAGGCGATAGGTATAAAATGAAAGATACTTGATATATATATACTATTCGGGAAGCTACATGCCAAGTTTGGTGATTTTAGCTCTTATTATTTACTAAAATTGTTCAAAAAACAGGATTTCGATATAGATTTTTATCGATTACTTGGAATTGGGGCAAGTTATCGAATATCGGAAATAAACTCGATCTGCGCGGGCACTAGGAAGACCTACAGCAAAAATTTCGTGGCTCTAGTTCATACGGACAGACAGACAGACGGACATGGCTAGATCGACTTGGCTATTGATGCTGATCAAGAATAGAGATACTTTATGGGGTCGAAGATGCTTCCTTCTGCCTGTTACATACATTTGCAAGAACACATAATACCCTTTTTATCCATTTTCAATGGGTTCAGGGTATAAAAAGGTGCAAATAATAGAATGGAATGAAACCTTACTAGTGAATATACTATTTCATTTTGACCAAGGAATATATTTGGAACTACTTCTAAATTGCTTGGTTTCTAGATTTTATTACTTGTTGACATCGTAAACTATTTATTAGGATGAAGAAACGAATGAATAGATTATTAAGCTGCCATAAAAGAACATTGATATCGAAAGACTTTAACGTATATCTATACGAACTATTTGTAAGAAATTGATGTGCGCAGTATTAGATTTACTTTTCATGATGTGATGTATTGAATAATTAGGAAGACACTCGATTTTGTTGATAAACATAAATAACTAAGTAATATTCGTGTACAGAAAACGGAATACAATACATTGTAAAAATGTTAAGACTAATTTCAAAGAATAAAGTAACCTTAAGGGAGTCTCGTTTAAGAAAACATAAGCTACTTGTATTCTCAGAGCTTGACCCACATATTCGGCATATTTTTTGTAAGTACACACGTAAAGGCAGTGAATGCGCCCACTTGTTGGATTAAGCTGAACCAAAGGCATTCAACAGAAGAATGCAAGCTGGCAAATTACCATACAAAACTCATTTGATCAATGGGGTCGCGCAAACACACCCTGAAAAGCCAGAAAACAAATCTCCATGCGCCAAAAATATAATAGCATTTTTTCAACATTGTTTTTTGTATTTGAAAAAGTCAAACAAAAATGTCAACAAGTCAGCGAGGGGAGACGAATGCGAATGCGAATGCGAGAGATTGTTGGCTGAATTTTCTGAAATTTGAATTACAAATCCAGCAAAATGACATTTAAAGGCAATTTCAAACAAATTTTTTTCTCTCTATCGAGAAGTCGTAAAATCGAATATTGTACAAATTTCGTGGGTTTAACAATTGAAGTTGAGTCCACGAGTCTGGCATGTAATACATAAAGCTTAATAATTAACAAAAAATATAACAATGTAGTTAGCTGTGTTAAAGATTTTCAGCAATAACAAATTCACGACAACCTTATTTATTAATATTTTCTTTCAAATATAATTTGTATATATATCGATTATGTATATATTTGCGTAATATATTCCTACATAATAATTAAGCTGTTAACGATAATAGAGAATATTTGAATATCCTTACAGCTAAAACTAGTTCAAAAAATTAGCGCATATTGCTAATTGCCGTTTTAAGCTCTAAATTTGTAAGCTGCTAACTTAAAGAAAAGAAAACTTCAAAAAAATGATGTTGCCCCTGAACCTTCAGGCGGATTGAGTTAATTGTGTCTGTATCTGTGTTGTTTGGCTTAACTTGGCTTTTGTTTTTTAATGATTTATTGTGAGAAACAACTTCGGAGTGGAGCATGTATTATCTGAAATAACAAACAAAACAACAACAAACGAACATTTTAATTTTAGCTTCATATACAAAACATTTTGGAAACACACACAAACTAATAAGAAACGCACACTAAAATGCGTAGCCCAAACAAAAAATGCGTAGCCCAACTTTGTAAAATAAATTGTTTTAATTTGATTAGCTATGGCATTAAGCAGAAAGAATTAACACAGTTCTCGCTCTTCTGGGGCGTGGCAACCGCTAACAGCTTTAAAAACAATGGAAGGTCGTTTGCTTTTGAGCGCTGCACTTGACACCAGAAACGGAACAAATAAAATTGGAGAAAGAGCAGCTTTATGGCAGCGAGCATTGTTATATCATTAAGGCTTTTATTATGCGGGTATAACTCTTCAAATAAAATGTGATTAGCAAGTTCACAGGTCAGACGACAGTCAAGGTTATTCCTCAGTTGGCTTTAGACAACTTATAAGCGAGATCAGGAATAGGAATACATATTAATTAAATATTAAAATAATTCTGTTCTACATTTGAACATATATTCTCCACAATTACAATGCAATTTGAGTATTATTGACATGCAAAGTAGGGCCTAATACAGAAATCAAGCAGAATCTTTAAGGTAGTTGGCCTAGATATGATTGAGAGATGGTCACTTGGCTCCAAGGAAACCCTCAATAAAGGTGGCAATCCAGACCATCAGTTGCAGCAGAGTCCATACCAACAACTACTCTCAAACAAACCGTAAATGAAGTGCAGTAACCACAATCATCATCCAACAATTGCTGTGCAATTGCAATCATAGCCTGGACAAGTAATTGCTGTTCCACTAACCTCTAACCCGCAGGCAACAATAACAACAACAATAACAACAACAACAAGATGCGGCCCGTGCCAACAAACAAATGCATACATTGTGTACTTAAACAAATATATTTAACTGACAAACAGCGAAAACTCGAAATAAGATAATAAATAAAGGCTGGTCACGCCACGCCCGCACAATTCGCTGGACATGCTAAAAAGATGTTGCCGTGGAAATTGCAGCTATTTCGTATTGCAAAAGGCGGACAGGCCAGATCTGGACAGGGGGTAAGAAATCTACATAAGTTGTGGCATATGCTTGCGGGCCTTACGGGAGAGTATGCATAATATCTTTTTCACTTAATCTTCCAAGATCATGATACTCTCTCTCTCTCTCTATTATGACTTGATAAATTTACTAAATTGCATAATGATATCCCTAACCTTTTGACAAGATAAACATCAAATAAAAAGAGAAGTAAACTAAACTATCTAGCCTATATATAGCCCAATATATCTAGCCAAAGAGCGCGAAGCCCATATAAACTTTCTCTTTGTTAGTGTATTTAAGCTTCGGTGTGCTACGCCTAGATTAACTGGCTTGTAACTGTGTTTCATTCAGCAAACCAGGCTACCTACGCGACCGAGATCTACAACAACAACAACAACAGCTGCAACGCCTCAAATGCGTTTGCTGTTTTTGGTAATAAACGAAGCGTTAAACAAATTGCATTACAGCAACTACAACAACAACAACAACTACATGAAATTGTGTCTGGTTTTGTTGTATGCAAAGCGTCATAAATGAGGGCGCCTTGGGCGTAATTACATCAACTATCAAATATGGTCAAAAGAGCGAAAAATTATCACATCTGCTGCTGGTGCTGCTTTTGTTGTTGTTGTTGTTGTTGTTGTAATAATAGCTGAACCGACACTGACAACAACACGAAACAGCAAAGGGAAATGCCAAGCAGAAATTAAATGCAAATTATTGCCAAAAATGTGGTTAGGATAATTTCGAAACATTTTTTGGTCTTACATTTTCCTACTTTTGGCACTACAAATTTAATTGATTGCAACGGCATAAATTCAATCGAATTTTAACTTAATTATGAACCTTATCAAGGATTTTAGCTTAAGAATCTTGTTTTAAATGCAAAAGAACAATAACAAAATAACAAAAACTTGTTCAATGTGGTAAATTATAGTTAAGCCAACACATAAATCGAATGGACTGCGGCTGGTAAATCAAAAATAAGTTGAAGTCGGGCTTAAAGTCAAGACAACAAAGAGCGAAACTAACAACTGCACAGCAATAATAATAATAGAGCACCGCGATACAAATCGATGTAACGAGCGCGCCTTACAAAGAGAAAATTGATTAAATTATAGACAAGAATTAAAATCCACAAGCACACAATACGACAATTGCTTAGCCAAAAACTAATTGCAAAAATTGTTTTGCAGAAACTAACGAATCTACATTCCATCGAAAATGGAATAGGAAACAATTTAAAGTGTGTAAACTTTTTAGAGGTCACTCGGGAAGATGATAAAGTACATATTTTATATCATTTTCCAGTATTTTTTTGTTTCACAATAAATCTAACAATTAATGTAGGCTTATGGGCTAATTAAGTTAAGACTGAACTTGACTGTGTTAAAGGCTTTACATTTAAATAGTTTACAAGTTTAACTTATTTAATTACTCTGGTACAGACTTTATGAACATTAAGTTTAACTGCCAAAAGTTTCTTGAAACCTTTAACGCCCAATATGACCATACGCAATTTGATGGCCGTCACAAATTTGTACAAAAAAGTACATTCACAGAAGAGCTAAAGCTGAAAGTCCCCTAACGATCGCGACTTGATAAATTCAGGTAACTTGGCAAATTGCTGAAAAATGCAATCAGCCAGCCAGCCCGCAAAGAGCTGGGCAAATGGCATTGAAATTGCACAACACAACAGCAATAAATGGACACATTAGCCGAGCCAGTAGCTAAACTGTCAGCCACTCATTGAGCCACTCACTCAAGTGGCACACCAGTGCCATGTGCCGATGAGGCGTGCCTCTGGTTGGGCTGGTCCAACGCGCCGACGAAGGTTAGCCGCAACACGGTCGGGCAGGGCACATCGATGGCTTTGCGCTGAAATACAGCTAAACACAATTTGGTTGCCATTTTTGTGCTGTTTGCTGGCCAGTTGAATGAACTGAACGCCCACAGCTTACGTCTGGCCAGACGAGCTACATATCAAGTCGGAGCCAGCTCTCTAAGCCGCAGAGTTCAAAGCAAAGGCGTCGGGCGTGTTGTTGTTGTTGTTGTCGCCAGTTGTCAACAGATGATAGCGATAAGCAGGCAAACAAGTAAGAGCTAGACAGAAGTCTGGAGCCTCATAACTTGCACGTTGATCTTCAGCGTGAAATCTGCATTTGAAGTGGAAACAACAATTTTTAATATTTTCAATTAGACGAACAGCTAACACTCTGCTCTGAAGGTAGGTAATAGAAACAGTCGAAAGTGTAAGGTTTAATTTCGGGAATTTGTTTCCATTTCAACTAAATGTTAGGCAGAACTGAATAATTGCGAAATAAACGAGAGTCAAATAAGTAAAAACATTGCCTCGCAAGGAATTCCTAGAAATCACGATATTTTTCCTTTGAGTATAGACAACAAGAATGTTTCTACTCAACGTAACAGGCTGAGCAAATATCGAGAGGCATATTTATCTTACGATAACAAAGCGACAACTTTTGTGGAATTCGAATTTCACGAAATGGGATTTTGACTTCATTTGATATTTATGCGGAAACCGACAAAGCTAGCTCTGCGTTTTTCAATATACATTTTTTAAGAATATTATATTATATACTTTCGACCGATTGTTGCAATTACAGGCTTACAGCGATCTGATCGAGAATATATAAATTGATTGCGTTCGAAGGAAATGCATTTCGAGATTAAAATTATATTACCCATGGATATAATAAGGAGCTAGCATCAATACAACAGCAATAGTTTGATTATAAAACTCAATAAATAATATACTTGTACGTATAATGGCCATTAAAGTTACCATTTTCAAGGTTGACAAACTAATCCAGCCATTACGATTACCCTCAATATGTGAGTGCAAAGCAGCAAAGTAGTCATAAGTTCTTTCGCGATACTGACTCAGCACAGCACAGCACATAATTTACAATTCGCTGGTGAGTCCAGCGCAATTTGTCATATGGCTAGGCTGGCGTTATCAATGATTTATAAAGATGCTCGGCTGAGTCTTGCAGGTGCCTGAGAACGAAAGATGGCTACAAGAAGAAGCCCTCAAATGGCAGTGAGTATCGGCAGTTGAGCCAAGTTACCGTCAGAGCGGATGTCGGCGCTTTTTGGCGGCAAATTTGTCTTGACCCAAACGCGGGTAACATTTTCATGGCTCATGGCAATGCGAGCGGAGCGTCGAACTGTAAAGTTATGAAGCTGCGCCAAAACGGAAGCGCGTGTTTAAGGTTATGGGCACAGGGCCAAGATATAAGCGGGAAAACGACAGACAGCAATAGAAACTCACCATCAATCTAGCGGACTCCGAAGCTGAAGTTTCTCAAAGTATTCGATTACAATGTGCGGGTACAACTCAATGACACCGCTAAGCAACACCGCATCGAGTGCTGAGACAGTCTTCCATTTGACCACTAGATATGTCTCGCCCCGCATTTTGAAGGACTTGAGAATTTTCTCCAACGCCAGGCCCCGTTCGATTCCCTGTGGACGTGCGGGCAAATGCAGCGAATCATCCCAGTTGCCCACCTGGCTGATATGGCTGGTGGCACTACCGCCACGCGTGGTGCTAGCACTGCTGCCGCTGCTGCCTCCGACACTGCTCATTGAGCTGGGCACCGGCGTTTTGGGCGTGCTCGGCAGTGGGCTTGGCTTCGGACTGAGTGGCTTGGATGGCATGCTATGCAAGGGTTCAGCGGCGGGCGCCAATGTTTCCTCGATGATAGGAGATGATTTTGATAGGTTTTTTGGAGCAATTTTAGCGCGCATACGGCTTTTGTCCGCGCTTTTACAACGCTTTGGAGAATTTTCCAAGTGGTTCAATGAATTAACGTTCTTAAAGCGGCCGTTGCTGGTCGGTGGGTTATTGCTCCGACTCCGGCTTCTGTCCAGGCTCATTCGCCGGTTCATCGACGATCCACTCCCATGTATCTGTGAGAATACGGCCCATTAAACAATAGGGTCCTTTAACAGTAGCAAACACCCAATTACTTACTTGCTCCATGGCCTCTTCAACGGAATCCACGTGCATGGTCATGCGGCGTCGCGATTTTGGTGTTTCTGGCGAAATGTTCGAGGTTTTGAGCCATTGCTCTTTTATCCTATTGGGAATTGCCAGTAGTTTAGGTTGACTGGGTTGAGTTGGCGTTGGTTGTGTTTCTGGCCTAGCCGTTGGTTGTTTCGCTGGCTTTACTGTTGGCGGCACCCGGCTTCCACTTTTTTCAGAAGCTTTGCCTTTGCTTTCATGCCACCTGCGCGCCTGCTCCTTAAGAGTTTCTATTGAACTTTTGGCATAGCCACTGTTTACGCTAACCTCCTGACGCTCCATGATGCTCGCTGGTCCCGTAGCAGGCACTTCCACTTCATCATCAGTATCATCCTCACTGCTCAGGTTGAGCTTGTGCGGCAAATCAAGATTTATGAAGAACGGATTGCTGTTAGAAACCGGGGGCTGCACTGCACTCCGTTTTCTCAGATCGCCCTTTTTGCTACTTTTGCTATTGCTGCTGCTGTTACTGCTGCTGCCGCTCCCACTGCTACTACTACTGCTATCACTATCGGAGGCACTGCTACTGTCGCTGCTCAGATTAAGCTCCTCACAGAGCTTTGGGCTCGTTTTGGGCGTAGGTAGTAGCAGTTGTAGTGCCGGCGGCTGTTGTTCCTGCAGTTGTTGTTTCTGGGCCGGTTGATCCAGCGTTATTTCTTTCCGTGGCATTTCCTTCTGCTGTATTCGTTCCTCCTGCGGCTGCTGTTCCTGCATTTGTTGTGCCTGTGATATTCGCTCCCGCGATTGCTCTCCCTGAAATGTTTGTACTTGCGCTTGTTCCTCCAGTTGTGGCTGCTCCCTTTCTGCTTCTTGCTTTACTTCGACCAAGTTGATGATTGGCGAGGGCATTTGGATGAGCTGGAGACGCGCATTGATTGAAGCAGGACTTGCCGTCGCAGATAAACTTGCTGCCGATGGACTGTTTTCTTCGACATAAATAGAGCTACTACTTGGACTCGAATCATTCAGAGCGGTAAACATCATGGATGCGTCTGTTTTGCACCTGGCCCTTTTACATTGCTCTGCAAATAATTCGGCCTCAAAGTCAGCTAGCATTCGCATACAATCGCCGGTTAAGTTCTCGATGGGCTCCCACGTACTTTCTTCCATTGAATAACCCTGCCATTTTAATAATAGTTGAGCTCGCCCATTTACGTAGCGTTTTTTCAAAATTTTCTCAACATAGTGAGTCTCATCCGCCCGCGCTGTGCTCTTCCTTCTTTTGGGCTTTTTTGCGGCACCGACAGACGTTGAAGCACGCGCGGGTGAACCACTTGACTTCCTTTTGCCGGAGCTTGACGACGACGATGAGCTTTGGCGATTGCTCCCGGACATTTTTAAAAGAATTTAAAACTGGTGCAAAGATTATGTACGTTAAGTTTGTGTAGTGTGTTTTCGTGTGTGCGCGGGCAAATAAGAACCAACTAAATATGGCAATAACTGCAACGAATACGGGTCAAATAAAATAAACAAATTATGAATTTGTTACCTTCGGATGTTGTAAGCCGCACAGAAAGTACACTTTACTTGCAACACGTGATCGGGAATATAAATTCAGTTGTAAGAATTTCACAACAACTTGCAACTCGCAACTCACTCGCCAAAAGAAAGAGCGCAGTAACAGGATCTAGTGATGCCAGACTTTTAAAACCCAACAATATCGATAACAGACTAAACGCTTTTGCTTCGATAGTTTTTTTCTCCCACTTGTGGCTCATTGTTATTAAATTCACAATAGAAAACGTGATTTAAAATATGAGTGACTTAATTTGCAGGTTTGAAATTAAACTAACATCATCTATATATGCATTTAACATTTTTCTGCAAAAATCAGACAGTTTTTTCAGTATTTTTTTATTTTTTTATTAAAGTAACAAGTACGGCTGCATTGTGCACCTGTTTAGTATTTATATCAGTATATCATGGATGCGTCTATTCTGCAACATTGTTCTGCAAACAATTCGGCCTCAAAGTCAGCTAACATTCGCATACAATCGCCGGTTAAGTTCTCGATGGGCTCCCACGTACTTTCTTCCATTGAATAACCCTGCCATTTTAATAATAGTTGAGCTCGCCCATTTACGTAGCGTTTTTTCAAAATTTTCTCAACATAGTGAGTCTCATCCGCCCCCGCTGTGCTCTTCCTTCCACGCGGGGGTGAACCACTTGACTTCCTTTTGCCGGAGCTTGACGACGACGACGAGCTTTGGCGATTGCTCCCGGACATTTTTAAAAGAATTTAAAACTGGAGCAAAGATTATGTACGTTAAGTTTGTGTAGTGTGTTTTCGTGTGTGCGCGGGCAACTAAGAACCAACTAAATATGGCAACAACTGCAACGAATACGGGTCAAATAAAATAAACAAATTATGAATTTGTTACCTTCGGATGTTGTAAGCCGCACAGAAAGTACACTATACTTTTAACACGTTACCGGGAATACAAATTCAGTTCTAAGAATTTCACAACAACTTGCAACTCGCAACTCACTCGCCAAAAGAAAGAGCGCAGTAACAGGATCTAGTGATGCCAGACTTTTAAAACCCAACAATATCGATAACAGACTAAACGCTTTAGCATCGATAGTTTTTTTCTCCCACTTGTGGCTCATTGTTATTAAATTCACAATAGGAAACGTGATTTAAAATTTGAGTTCCTTAATTAGCAGGTTTGAAATTAAACTAAAATCAACTATATGTGCATTTAACATTTTTCTGCAAAAATCAGACAGTTTTTTCAGTACTTTTTTTTTATTTTTTATTAAAGTAACAAGTACTGCTGTCTTGTGCACCTGTTAAGTATTTATACCCTGTACTCATTCAACATAGGGTAGTAACAATTTATGTAACATACATAAAATATGCATATACTTATATTTTTGATCAGGTAATGGTAATAAAATCGAGAAAGACAACATTTCATGTGCGTGTGGATTAAGATGAATAAGAAATGTATTTTCACCTCGCAATAGGGTATCTTCCAGTCAGGCAATCTATTTGATCAATTTTGACATTAAACCCGTTTTTCGTGCTCCTTTTAGAGCGCAAAACTGCAAAAGCAACTGAAGTTTAGTATAGCGGAAATAATATGTAAGTATTTTAATTGGCCAATGGCAAAAATGCCAGCCCGTTGACTTTTTAGGTACACGTATTTTGTTTTTTGGGCTGAAAATCGGTTTTGGCCACAACGGATAGATGTTAATGTAATGCTATCAAGTTTAGCTTTAACTAGCCATACCATAGACATTGTCATTGGAATGTGTTTCTCATCATTATCGTACAGAAACTGCCAATTTGAGAAAAAAATAAAAATAAAAAGCAAAAGAAAATAAGCTACCAATTACTCAGACATGCGAAGTCTTCAGAAATGCGTGTACTTGCTTGTATTCATATTGCTCAGGTCCGCGAGCTAGGTATTCGTCACATTTGGACGAGTACTCGAGTTGTTTATCAACTCAAAAGCTTACATATGTGTGACAGTTTGAAGAAAATCAGCGAGGCAGACACTCGGTTAACTTGAACATTTCTTTCACTTTCTGACATTGTGCAGCATATCTGTAGCGTCGTCTCTATCCATCACATGGATGCATACATACATATATATTTTAATTCGATAAAATTAACAACTTGATACATGGCTGGCAGAGAAAAGTGAAATGGCGCACAGTTGAGTGCTGCAAGGGTAACCTCAAGGGTTTTCAAAGTCAGCACACGAGCGATTCACTTTCGTTTTCATTATTGTTACAAAATATCAGCTCTCCTCTATGGACAATTTGGTTGGACAATACATTCGTGCATACTTGTGTACATATTTGGTTTTTTAATTTGCATAGTTGTCGGCAAAAAAAAAATGCGCCCAGAAACTTGTTTTATATACGACAACATCACGCGCGACAAGATGTCTTTCTGTATATGAAATGAATGTAGATTTCCAAGAGTTGTATTTCTTGATTTCGAATTAATGAGTATCTATATATACATACATATATGAAAACGCACATATGGATTTATTCAGCGGAGATCATCAGCTCTTCATTAGTAAGTTAATTTCATTAACGTGGTTTTTGTTTGACAAGCTCAACATATCACGGTTTTTATTTTACTGAAATTCATTTGGCTTCTACGCTGTTTGTTTTTTTTTTTTTTTGTGTTTCGCTATTGAATTTTATGTTAGTAGAAAGGTGTTGTCATCTTCAGTTTTGACCCATGGCTGTTACATAAGAATTTGTATTTACATTTTTGACATTTTAACTTAACTTTGCTTTGTTTTCAATTGATTTAATATGCTTGTTTGCAATTTTTAATCACTTTATAATAATGTCAATATTAAGTATAGATTTATGTAATAAGCATATACAGAGAGTATATAATTACTTATATTAATATCTTCGACTGTCAACAGGTAATCACCGTACTAAAAAAATAACGGAAAATATGTTCGATATTTGTATTCGATATTGATCGCACGTCGATTAATTTTATTAATCTCAACAATTTACTTGCACAACCTTGCTGGCGCCTAGGTGGCATCCCTACGAAAGGCATAGAAAGAGAAAGCGAGACAAAAGCGCGACAAATTCTCAACCAACAATTTAGTCTTGTTGTACGCAGCAGCCGGTAAAAGTGTGTGAGTGAGTGCATTTTCTTATGTGTGTGTGTATATGAATATGTTTATTTGCAATGTACATATATGTGTTCATATTCTGTGGTTCGGCATAAGAACTCCTATAAACTGCATTCGAATTATGCCGTTAAGATAACGCTTGCACACAGGGTGACTATGATTTTATTGACACATTGACATTAAAACACACTTAAAAAGCGAAGTCATCTTATTACAACAATCGTAAAAGGTTGCCGAAAAAGTGCGAATCAACGGTAAATTTTGAGAGGCAAATATTTAGGTAAGTCAGTATTTACATACACATGCATAGTATACATACATAATTACGTAAATACATAAATACGTATGGCGCGAAGTGTTTATTTCAGTATTGGGTATTTATTTAAAGTTGGACTTAACATAAGTTTGTCAGCTTTTGTTGCCTTTATAGAAATAAACTAAACTGTGGACAGGTAAGCGCAAACTACGGAAGTACGTGTTGTATTTTTATTTGGGCTTATTATTGGTTATTTTCTTTCCGTTTTTTTTTTAACTTCTTCGTGACAAATGTCGACAATTCTTTTCGTTTAACCTTTTAATTTTGATCACGCATTTATTGTGTCATATCTTCTACTTGAGGCTCTTCAGTAACCAGACCTCGACTAAGTTCCGGCTCCGGCTCCGGCTGCGGCCGGCAGAGGCCTGAAAAGATCTCTTGGCAGCATCGAGATAAATTAACATGAAATGAATCAGCGGCAGAGGTTTCTGTTTCTGTTTCTGTTTCTGTTTCTGTATTCTGCTTTGCTTTGAATAAAACAATTATCGTAGCCAAGATGACACCAAAAAACAAAAAAAAAAGAAACGATAAGAGCAACAACAACAATTGCGACAAAAATACGACTAAAAGTGCCGGGAGTTTCGAAAATTCAATTTTAATTTTCGTATACCTACTACTTGTTATGTGGTGTGTACAAAAATATAATAATAATAAAAAACCATATGTAAAACGTAAAACTCACTCACCTTGTGCTATGCTGCTGCTGCTGACGCAGCAAAAGACGATGAAGAAGCTGAGGCTGCTCCACAGTGGCGTCCGTGTTCGCGTCGGCGTTTGCGTCGACTGCGACTGCGACTGCGACGTCGACAGCGACAGCGACGCCCGCTTCGGTTTGAGAGGCATTTTTTGGGCTTACGAGATATCCAAAAGGCTTTTGTTTATTAATTGTGTGCTTGCTTGTAATTTTTGTATTTTTGCGTTGTATTTAGCATTCAATTTGTAAATTATTAGCAATTTATTTGTTAGCTCAGTATTTGCATTTTGTTTTTATTTCCACAAATGCCGCTTAGAGCACATTTAGCCACAATTTTAAGCTACAGGTTTAACTGGTTTTTTTTTTTTATTTTTGTTTTACTGTGCATTCGAATTAAACAAACTCTTAAAGATATTGATGAGTTACCGTTATAAAGTAATTAATAAATATTATGATTTCATTTTGAAGTCAAAATTAACGTAAGGTTCAAGGCTTAAGAGAACATATTTTGACCAAGTTATATTTAAGATGTCTAAAATCAAGACTAAAAAACTGTTAAAATTTAATAAGTCTTTTTTTACGGTGTTCTTCATTTGTTTGTTGCGGACTTTGCCTTTTAAGACTTTCACACACACACAGAAAAAAGTGTCTGTCAAATTTTCACCTGTTGCTTGGACTCTGGCCAAAATATGTTGGCAACCTTAACCTTGAGCTATAATATATATTCTGAAGATTCATTAACAATCATTAATGTAATTTGAGTATTTTTTTGTTGTTTATTCTGCTGTCATTTCTATTTCTAAGCTGGCATTTGCTATTAACCATTTATTATAACTAATTTCTTAAAGAATGACAGAAAGTGTGAAACATGTTTCTCTTCGCCCTCCATTCTGCCAGTTCGAGGGGGAGAGAGCGAGAGGGAGAGAGCGAGCGAGCCATTGTCGGATGACCTTCGCTTATTGCTTGTTGTTTTATGGTGGCAAGCTTTTAATTAATATTTTTAATTAATATGTTTTAATGCATATTCTTGGCGATTTCTAATTGGAGGCCAAGCCAAAACGAAAGAGCAAAACGGCGGGGCCAGGAAAACGTTATGCTAATTTGCCAAGATTCTTATTGGATGTGAACAAGGTTTTCTAATTGGCCAACAAGTGCAGTGAGGCAAAGTGAGGCACGCACAGTGACCACACAGCGTGATTCGAGTTGTGAAAACCAAACTTGTGAAAACCTAACTTGATTTCAATGCAAAGTGAAATTTTCCACACACACACACACACATACATAAGTAAAAGCGTTGAAAGACAACTTGCAGCAACAAAACAAATTCGAAATTAACAATAACAACAACAACAACAACAATGTCCACAGTCCGTAATGACCGAGTGACTGAACTGCTGGCTAGGAAAAGATTTTGCAGGGGGAGGGGGGGGGGGGGTTGCTCAGTCTCGTTGTTTTGGTCACTTTTATGACGTTGGATCAAGCGTAATGCAAAATTACGCGTTTTGCATACACAAGGCAACGAACCGAATACCGAATTCCGATTTGAGACGCGCTCTGTTAATGGAAACCGTTCGACGACCGACCGATCGAGCGATCGGCCATTAAGGTTGCGCCGGACGCACTTGCTCCACTCAGACACTCACACACACACACACACACACACACACAGTCGGCTTTGTTTTTGGCTTTGGCTACACGCAAAACGCAAGAGTCGCAGTCGAAGACGTACCGTGGGCCACAACCAAGCTGAGACGCGTTTCGAATTGAACTAAAACTGAAGAATGGTAGCGAACGGTAAGCGAGCCAAGCGGCGGCGGCTAAAACACGTTTTAGCCGCAGACAAGTGCATGTGCTCTCGCCAAAGAGAA